ACAAGAGTCCCCCCGGTTCTGCCGCCTCCAAGCGCGCTCGTACTGCATACACTTCTGCTCAACTCGTAGAACTGGAGAAAGAATTCCACTTCAACCGTTACCTCTGCCGCCCGCGACGAGTGGAAATGGCTAATCTGCTCAACTTGACGGAAAGGCAGATTAAAATATGGTTCCAGAATCGCAGGATGAAGTACAAAAAGGACCAGAAGGGGCTAGGAATGATGCCCTCTCCTGGAGCACAGTCTCCTCACAGTCCCGTAGCTCTGTCATCCGGTGGCGGAGGAGGGGGTGGGAGTGCATATTTAAGTTCAATGCATTCTCTGGTTAACAGCGTGTCCTACGACTCACCCTCTCCAACATCCTATAACAAACTCCAGCCTAATGCATGCAACCTTCCTACGTCATACCCACCTCCTCTGAATAACTGCCCACCTCCTCTGAATAACTGCCCACCTCCTCAGAAGCGGTATCCAGGGACTGGCACAGCCACGCCGGATTACGACACGCATCATCTTCAAGGCAACAACAATTACGGGACACAAGTGCAGGGTAGCCCGGTTTATGTCAGTGGTGGTGGAGGCTACTCGGATTCTTTGGTGGGGATGGGGGCCTCGGTATTTGGCCTGACACATCTACCGCACCCACCTCAAGGCAATATAGACTACAACGGCGCTATCACCATGGGAAACAGCCATCAGCAAGGAACGTGCCAACCAAACCCATGCACATTCACAGAACTTACACCGCACTATTCTCAGGGAAGAATTCAGGTAGCGCCCAAACTGACGCATCTATAGTGCCGATACCATGTATTTCTCTCCCAGTCCACGGCACACATTTGCGCTCCGTCTGACTGCGTTTTGGTTCATATAGTTTTCCTGACATAGCCCCAGGTGAAACGACCTTGATGTTGGTTTTACTTAATACATAAAAAGGAAATTAAAGTTCCTCAAAGCTCAAATGTCATGGCATCATGGGAATATGTAGGCCTATTTATATTGTTTAAGGAAATCTGAAACAGGGTATGAGAACACATATTAGAACACAGTTTTATACATTTTTTTTAACGTGAATTTTAAAGTCTTCAAAATTCCTCTCAGTCCACGATTTCATTTCTGTTTTGCATTTTGCACTTGAGGAAGGATGCATATGAACACAATTTCTTATTCAACAGTCTTATACAGCGTGAGCTCGTATTTTTTAGGTCTTTCAAATGTATTTATTTGTTTCCATGGACAGTAAATTGTGTTATTTAGCCCAAATCCTTAAGATAATGGGTAAAAGGAAACCAGATCCCGCGACTCTCCCATGTCAGTGCTGAAACAAGTGCTAACAGGCAGATTATCAAAGGTCGATGTGTTCAAATATTAATCAATGTGTGCGAATGTTAATCATGTGTTGCTTAGAGTCGAAAGAGACAGCGATCAGATACTCATACTTTTTATTTGTTCAAACTTTTTTTTTATGTCATACATTCCATGCTGCTCCACTTCTGAAGAAATAAAAGACAATAATTGACTTCTGTATTTGCCTTCATAAAAGAGGAGTTATACAACAAAAGCATCAGAAAATTAGCAATATAATAAGCAGATCATTTGCTCAGTGCACGTCGCTGTTTGGTTAATAAAATGACTGAAAGGCATTTGGAAATAGGAGAAACATCCTAATACTGAATCTACTGAGTATGAGTGGTACATCGTCATTTCCGGCGGTCTTGCAGTTTGTGAAAATTGTAAGAAATCCCATCCATTGTCGTGACAGTCTCCTACAGGCCTCCAGCAGTGCCTGTGGGAGAAAAGAAAGTCTTTAAAACTCTAAAATGCTTAAGCCCAGCCCTCGTTTAGAACAACAACAGTGCAATGTATAAAAGACAGATGCAACATAAGCAGCAGAAAGAGAGAGATGCACATCACATCACACACACAAACACTTACACACACACACACACACACACACAACACATCAACGTAAAATTATCTGAAACAACTCGTCATTTGAGTCCAAATGGTCAATGGTCATTAGTAATAGTACTCGAGATTGACACATAATTCTTTACATTTTAAGTCTAAATTTAGAGACCCATTCTTTAATATCAATAATGTTGTTTCATAATTGCACTTTACACGAAATTATGTTAAATTAAATGACTAACAGCTTTGTTGTGTAGTACACTGGTTAAAAAGTAAATTGCTAGTAAAAAAAACAACAACTATAGTTTCAAACAAAAATGCCCTTTTTCACTAGCCTATATTTAGCCTATCAAATTACATTACTGTCCGTCTTAATGTTATAAATAAATGCAATATACTTGTACCTTGTAGTTCCCTGTAAAAATGCCTTAATTCTATAGAAGGATATACCCTTAAATATGGCATAAGGTTAGCAGGAGCTTGCGCGAGACAAAGTTAATAAATTTAGGACATGTTAACCCAAGATGTGGTTATGGAAAAAAACAAGGTCATGTTTTCACCGACTTGCAAGTGCCACCTCCCACATATAACCACTTTTCTTGACGACTCCAGAACCCTAATGTGCTGTTATCACAATGACATTAGCGTGTCCTTTCATTTATCAAATTATGCAATATGAAAGAAACTACTTACTCATCGATAGCAAATTAGGCCAACTGCTCCTTGAAAGTTTATGTCTGTTAATGTAAATCTGAAAATGGTCTGAAAAAAAAATCTGTTTATGATCGAGAGAAACGGGCAAATCTCTCTAATGGAGCCTTTTCCAGCCTCTCGTTCTACCAGGATTTGATCTGCGTAGAGTAAAAAGGTTTAAATGTGTTGTGGGGGCATGAGGCTGTCAAACCTTTTGGCAAGTAAGATTGATCACGCGCATGCTTCTAGAACTCTTTGTTTAGTATATAAGCACTGAAACTACAAACGACAAAAGTACTAGTTTCGTTTACGTTTAACATAGGCTATTTCCGCATAATCCGCAAACCGGCAAAAAAAAAAAAAATTCAAATGTTAGCATAGAAAGTCCCCTCCTTGTGTAGAATAAAACAAAACGTAACAAATTACTTTTAGTTTAATCTTAAAGGGATAGTTCACCCAAAAATGAAAATTCTGTCATTAATTAGGGGAGTAACACTTTTTGACTTTCTCAAATTGTGTAAATCCACATGGGGTTCAGAGTATAATTTTTTTATCCACAGTAATTTTACACTTGTCTAGTACAAATATGTCGCTTTGTTTCATAATTACAGTGTATACGTGTTTCTTTATTTACCCTCAAAAATTGGAAGTGAAATGTGACAACATGCCCCGTAGGTGGAACACATTGTAACATCTGAGGGGCACGTTGTAACATGACCATATAACAGCTTAAAACGTTATCTGATCGAATGAAAAAAATATACATTCCGCCATTTTAGAGAGTATCACAACGCATACGCACACTTTCCCTTAAGCATAAACAATGCCACTGATGTCACATGGACTGTTTTACGGATGTCCTTACTAGGTTTCAGGACCTGGGAACATTACAGTTGCATTGCTGTCTATGCGGGGTCTGAGAGCTCTCACATGTAATCAAAAATATCTTAATTCGTGTTCCGAAGATGAACGAAGGTCTTGCGGGTTTGGAACGACATGAGAGTGAGTAATTAATGACAGAATTTTCATTTTGGGGTGAACTAACCCTTTAATCCAAAAGATCTATACTGAATGTCAGTTGCTTTGTTTCAGAAAATAACTTCACTTATGTTTACATTTTACATTCATTGATTTATCCAAAGCGATTTACCAACTGAAACATCATGAAGCAATTTGTCACAGAGCCAACAACATTCATAGTAGACTTCACAATGCCAGGTTTAGTAGAATCTATATTAGGAAACAAGCTAGAGTACAGGTAAAGTGTTATGTGATATTAACAAGCTATAAAACAAAGGTAGGCCTAAAGTTTTATGTGATATTAAGATTTTTAGTAGGGTACTTACGCTAATCCTCACTGTTCAAACATTGCGGGTATGCTTGGTAAAGCTTCCAGTTGAAAACATCTGGTATCAAGAAGCGTTTTACTTCAAATATTTACTGACAACGACGTAGATCCCCATCGAAGAGAGAGCTAGCGAGCGAGAGTATCCTTCATAGTTAAATATAGGCTACAGACTTTGAATGTTCATTTTATCTTGCGCGTTATTTTGTAAATTATGTTTAATAGGGCTTGATAGAATAATAATGTATTTATATTTCATCGCGATTATCTACTATCGTTGATGACCTTATAAAATGTTCTGTAAGTGGGTTTGTTTTATGGAGCTGTTCGTTTTTGTCTAACCAGTGTATCTTAAGAATTGATAGGCGGAACATTACGTCAATAGATTTGCGTGTGGGGGAGGGGATATGTGATTTCAATGTATTTATGTGCCATATTAATTGTACAATAAGCTGGGCTGAAACAACTGTCTTTTCAGGCCAAATGAGAAAAAAAAAAAACTTCTGTCAGTAGCAGGCGTAACTTATTTGGCAAATGTACTGGAGGAAGACTGATTCCCTCACATTATTTATGAAACCAATACACAGAGAGAATGGACGTGCCTGTGCATTAGGGGCAAAAGGGAGGTTCTAATTCTAACATGCATGTTTTTAGATTGACTATGAAGCTTCAGAGCCACTGCCTTTAGCGAACACAATGACACCGATGTACATAACAGCAGTGACCTCCCTCTTAAGAGAAGAGTTGCTCGAGGAAGTTCTACTGATCGATCTGTCAAGCTGGATCCTTTTGAATAAACCCCAAATTGCCATTGGGTAAAGGTAATCATGTGACATGACTTTTCGGTTCAATTTCAACTGAGTCTCCTAAATGCAATATTATCGATAGTAATCTATCCACACACAGGCATAATTAGTTATTATAAAATAATTTTAATGTAATTTTTTCTCCACATAGCCTGCTTATTTTAATAGAGAGAGAAAACTCGTAGACTTCAACGAAGCCAAACTTTCCATGCCCGCGCTCTCGGGGCGTGGGACAACAGGTTTGCAATGAATTACGAGTTTGAGCGTGAGACGGGTTTCATCAATAGTCAGCCATCGCTCGCGGAGTGCCTTACTTCTTTCCCCCCTGTTGACGACTTATTTCAGAAGTCATCAATCAAAAGCTCAGCGCGCACGAACCTTCACCCTCTTGTCCTACCTCCTTTCGAGCACACCATCCCAAGCTTGAGTCTCGGAACTCATTCACGCCATGCAGGGCCCCGGCACAGCTTAGATGGGGGAAGCCCACTACACGCCAATTCTCTGACCCCGGAATACCCGTGGATGCGCGAAGAGAAAACCAACAAGAGAAACTGTCCTCTTATACCAACCGGCTCCTTGACTCCTACAGCGGGAGTCATTTGCTTCTCTCCAAAAGGTGAGTTAGGAAAACCTAAGCGAAGAGAGATGGGGAGAATTAAGGTTATTAAAGGTCTGAGAGAAATTATGAGCATCGCCATACATCTGCACTATCATCTCCACGCTATTTGCCTCATATTATACTCATTTACGACTTCTGTAAAATGTTTGACTCTCTAGCTTAATTCAAATCAGTAAGGTCTTTATGATGTCTGACGTGTAATGGAGAATGATAGATTACTGTTGTGGTACAAGGGGCCGCTCGGGCATTCATTAGAAGATGGTAGTCGGTACCACGCACACACTGGTGATGCAGTTCGCGGTCTACATTTATTTATTTTTTTACTATAGTTTTTAGTTAATCAGTTTGTGTTATCACATTTTAGTTAAGTTTACATTAACGTTGCGATAGACAAATACTAGGTGTTGCCATCTCGCATATGTTTGACTAAGCTACATAATAAGTGTTCGTGTGTTCCTTTGTGGACTAATTTTTTCAGGCTCACCCGAGCTTCCCGAGGGCGGTTTGTCTAGTGGAGAAGGAGGTTCACGCCGCCTGAGAACAGCATACACAAACACACAGCTTTTAGAGCTAGAGAAGGAGTTCCACTACAACAAATACCTTTGCCGACCGCGCCGTGTGGAAATAGCGGCGCTTCTCGAACTTACAGAACGCCAGGTCAAAGTGTGGTTCCAGAACCGACGGATGAAGCATAAACGCCAGACCCAGATTAAAGACATCCACGGGGAGCTAAGCAAGACAACTGTCGGCGAGGATAATGGTGCACAGAGCGACGAGGACGCTTCGATTTGTGGCTTGAGTCATGGTAGATTAGATAAGAGAGTCGAACTCTTTTCAAAACGACCTGTCAACAGTCTCTGGGCAGTCCTGTAATGATAACGACATGCAAACTTTTGAAATGTTTTCTAACAGCTTTATGAAAAGAAGTCTAAAATATGTTTCCAGTCAGTCACCTACTGCTCTGGGCAAGGGGACAATAATATGCAGTAGTAACCGATGTGCCAGTTCGGACAATTGCGGTTCCCCGCATGTTATGGACATGTCTGTGCAGGATTTAAACTTTTTTTCGACCGACTCATGTCTGTCTGATGCAGCTTCGCCAGCACTGTACAAGTCTCTGGAAAGCCCAGATGATGTATCAACAGACTTTTATTTCTTTAAGGATTCTCTGACTACAGCTGATTTACAAAATGCAAACTACTGATTATCAAAGTGGATCAGGGAACAAATGTAAGGATAAATCAGGAGTTTTAAATGTTGATTTAAAAAAAAAAAAAAAATTGCAAGATGGGTGTAATTGACGCGATTATGATAACATATCGAAGGTAAGCTGTATAAACCCTGTGCGCTGTATTTAGTAATATAATGCATAGGCCTAACGCATTCATAACAGAAGTATTAGTTTAGAATATATTATTTTTATTTTTGTATCGAGTATGTTCTGTGCTGCTTATTTTTGTAAAAATAAACATACTTTCTAAATACAAATGTCAAGACAATATTCTGTTCTCAAATTAATAGCAATTGCAACAACTATTTCTAAGTATTTATTGCTTAGTCGCTACGAAGTTTAAATACATTATACCAATCATAACACTTCAAAAATAAATAAGTAAATTAAAACAAAACAAATTTACATTTACTCGATTCACGTCTACAATATTCTTTGCAAGCTATACAAAATGTTTGTCAAAAAAAGTTATTCAAATGTGTGTGAAATGTACATTGATTTGGTAATTTCACATTTTATGTTTCTCACTTGTTTGATTTCCATGCTGAAACAATGTTATAAGATGTTATGGAAAAATCTGTACTAGTTAGTTAAACCTCTGAATGAATGTGCAGAAATAATTACTTATGAAATATTATGTTGTCCATTTTGCACGATGCAAATTATTATAGCCTGACTGTATAATTACTCCTACTAGGCCTATGTTTGATATTATACATATTCATGTGTGCATTTTTCAAATGTTTCATTTGAAATGTTAAGTCACAATTTAAATCACAAAACCGTGTTCAAATATGGCTTCCTCGCCAGAGCTGGCTCTTTGTCTCAGACTCTTTTCTCCGCTCCGCGTGGGGAAATGCCGAGAATGTTTCTTTCCATAACTAACTCATAAATCAAAGTCTTTCAGGCAAGCTGACAGCACCAATACAATCACTGCATGTGAAAAGTCTGCCCAAATAAGTGTTTTCACTCACTGTTTATCATTAAGAAGATTTTGGTTCCTGAAGCACAACCCACGTGGACGGTTAATAATAATTCATTTTTATTGGCGTTTTAACATCCGACATTAGGATTACACAAAACACTCATAAACTACATATTTCATTGCGCGTGGCATACGCTATTTGTCTTAGTCTCTTTTAGTTTTTTTTTTCTTGTCCTTATATCCTGACTGATATAACGTGATAGAAATGGTTTATGAACTCTATATTAAAACCTTTTTTTCAGACATTTCTAGTATTAATAAAACAGTATTATAATCGTAATGACAAAAGCATATTTTTATGTTCACATATTTCTCACCCACATTTCCTACAGACCAAATATTGTCTTATGTGAATGTGACTGAAAATCTCTGCAAGACTTTAGGTGATTCTGCTTTTTAAACTTCAAATGTTTCGTAAAGTCACAATTTGCTTACATGCATTGGCTATCTGCTTTAAGGTTCTAATTTATACTGTGTTAATACTCTGACTCGCTACAAGATGAAGAATAGCCACAATAAACAAAACAGTAAGTGCATTACAACAGCTGTTATTTTTCTTGCCTTGTTTGTCAGGGGCCATGTTAAAAAAGGATGTTAAGAAGAGAGGATGAGAAATACTAGGCCGTCAGAAGCTTGTGGAAAGCGCCATTTTGAGGACAAAAAATAACATTGGACATCTCTAGTAAAATTTCCTTTTCATCCAGAGGGGGCGCACGTCCCCCCTGCTCAACAAAAGGCTGGGCAACTTCGGTCCTGGAGGGCCACTGTCCTGCAGAGTTTAGCTCCAACCTTAATCAAACACACGTTTTGTGTGTGGCCACTTTGTGACCACTGATAACAAAACATCTTACAGCAAAACAAGCAATATGTGACAAAGTTCTGTTTCGTTTTTGCTGGATGTTAAAATTTCCATAGGTTTTACATATAAATCGCTCATAGCAGCAATAACTCTACAATGGGCTATAGCACAGACTTTTTTATTAAGACTCAGCCTTATTAAATTATAAAACCATTCTAATGAAAAGGTAACCTATCCAGATAAAAAAAAATACAATCAGTTTTATAACCAGTGTATAATTTTTATACACAAAACCAACTTGACAAACGCTGATGACTATAGCCTAGTATCCTCACAAAGCAGCGCAACTGACGCAAAATATACAATAAACCAGAAGTTAAAAAAAAAAAAAATCATTCACTTTACATAATTGCCTGTGGTTTTTTGGAGCTCATCTTACCTGACGCATTTCTTCAACATATTTCCCCACACCAGTATGTTGCTGCCTGGACGCTGTCTGTGAGACAACGTCCCTCCTTGCTCCTTTCCCAGCGAATCCATCCTTTCAATGGGGGATAAGGTGGGCCTACGTCACGTTTATCGACAAGAGGTCGGCATTTACATAAGCCTGGTGTTTAACGACAACCTGTCAGTGCAAGGCCACTTAAGATCAAGATGAGACAGAACAACTGATCACTGGCTGACCCAGCCCACGTGACTGTCACTGGTCATTCATATCACTAGCGCGCGGACACTCCCCAATCCACGACTGATTGAAGGAGGCAGAAGGGTGGCTCGGCTCAACCCCGGGTGAGTGGTGCGACGCTAATCAGTCCCCGGGCCCAAAGATCTGTCAGTGTGGCAGCAGAGACGCCAAGGAAGATGCCACAATGAGCACATTCTTAGATTTCTCGGCCATAAGTGGTGGTGGAGATGGAGGTGGCGGGGGCTCGTGCTCAGTCAGAGCGTTTCATGGCGACCACGGACTTTCAACATTCCAGTCGTCGTGTGCTGTTAGGGTAAATAGCTGCAGTGGGGACGAGCGGTACATGTCCAGTAGATCATCACAAGACGCAATTAACCCTCAGCCACATCAAGTCGGCTCGTACCAGTCCCCCGGGACTCTGTCAATTAGGCCTACCTACAGCGCCCATCCAAGTTACGCGACTCAAAGTTTTTGCGCCGGATACAGTCACTATGCCCTAAATCAGGATGTGGACTCGTCTGTGAGCTTTCCCCAGTGCAGCCCCTTAGTTTACTCTGGAAATATTTCCTCCACGGTTGTGCAGCACCGTCACCATCGCCATGGTAACAGTAGCGGAAACGTTCACCTCCACGGCCAGTTCCAGTACGCCACATATGGTAATAGCTCGGATCAGGCAAACCTTACGTTTGTGGCGGGCTGCTCAAATCCGCTATCCCCTCTGCATGTGGCTCATCACGAAGCATGCTGTTCACCTCTATCAGATGGCGTGTCAACAGGGCAGACATTTGACTGGATGAAGGTTAAACGGAACCCGCCAAAAACAGGTGAGTAGCTGGAGAACTTTCACATGTCGAGGTCTAATTTACCATTGTGTTTTCCCCCCCGGATACAGTATTTATGCTACAAATGAAAAAGAAAACAAATACTGACTTGTTTGTTATTTGAACAATGTTGTGTAAAATTCTGGAAAACTGGTGTGATATAATTAAGTCAAGATTATGCTTGCACACACTCATTTATTCATCTATTTATCGTCTTTCTTCAGGGAAAGCTGGAGAGTATGGATTTGGTGGGCAGCCAAATACTGTACGCACCAATTTTACTACAAAACAGCTGACAGAGCTTGAAAAAGAGTTTCATTTCAATAAGTACTTGACTCGTGCAAGGCGGGTGGAGATCGCGGCTGCGCTTCAACTGAACGAGACTCAGGTGAAGATCTGGTTCCAAAATCGTCGTATGAAGCAAAAGAAGAGAGAAAAGGAAGTTTTTTTGCCCAAATCTCAGTCCGAAACGAAGGATGGTCACGAAAAACAGGAGGATGCATCCGAAAAGTCGCTCCCCGCACCACCCACTCCCTCTCCAACTTCCCCGACTGTTGATGCCTCCTCGAATTAAAAGACTATTTTCTTCTGCCAACCTGTTAATGATATTGCAGTACTGTTAGTGACTCTCGTGTCAAGGTTATTATCAAAATCATCATGTGACATCAGTGAAAGTATCATACAGAGACCAGTGCACATCTTACAGATTTTGATCACTCAGTATTTACATTTGCTACTTTGTGTTATTGAGAAATGACTCTTAATTGTCTTGGGCACCTTGTCAAGCACCCAGAAATAACAAGTTGCTTGTGCATTTTCGTGCACAGTAATAGCAAATGCTGCACTTTTACACGTTTTTGGTCAGACTTGCACCATTTGTCAAAATGCCTACCTCAACAACCAAAAGAAATGCAATATATTTAAGGAATGTATTATTAAGAGATACGAATCAATGGTACGTTTCGCCAGAGGCTTGTTTGAACATACTGACAACTTTTCTGGACTCTGCATAGTGTTAACCCTGATGTTGTGTATGTGTTGTGAGTTCTGCAACATGATGAGCAACTCTTTAAAGTTGTCATCCGATCGTACTGAGTTTTATCAGTCAAAGATGAAGACTCAAGTCTCCCTTAGAAACATGCTTTAGAAAACGATCAAGATACGGGTGAATTAAATGTGTGAATTAAAATTTCTCTTAATTAAAATTTCTTTGAACACTGGTGTGATACTCTTGATGGTGCCAATGCCTTGTATAAGCCTCACACAGCCACACTTGAATGTCAAAAATATTTCTGACAATCTGGAAACTTAAAATAATCTACAAGTTATTTAGCCTATATAACGTTTAGGTACAGGTGTCCATAGAGGTTTGTTTGTTTGTTTGTTTTTGTGGCCGTACTGTTATGCTTGATTCATCGATTTGCTTGTTTGCAGTCTCAATCCACAGATAATTCGCTCTCTGGCTCTTTAACTGATATATGCATCCGCGAGTGGTTTCTTCCTCAGGGACGAAGCTATATTGGCACATGGTAAGCATGTTTATCCACGAAAGAAGATGCGCAATGCTGTAACGGTCACTCGTGATGACAACCCTATTGACCTGTTAGTTTATTGAAGGGGAACGGAGGACAACAAAAGAGAGAGAGAGAGAGAGAGAGAGAGAGAGAGAGAGAGAGAACATCGATTA